ATTTCCCCCCCCACCCCCCCCCCCCCCGTTTATACTTTCCTCGCTGCTAATCAACTCCAGATTTTTAGTAATTTGAACTTGTCAGCTTTGCACAATAGTATAAAACCATCCCAATAACCTTGACCCCTGGGTCAAGGCTAATGTTTACATAACCATGGGAATTTGCCAAATTGGTAGATAACATCCAATTAGAAAACAGAATGATATATTCCACCAATCGTTACTTGTTTCCAGAGGTCTTGACAACGAGGACATTATTTAGTAGGGTAGTATTACAACGGATCAATCATACATAAGGTGCACTGGTCGTGAACTGTGCACCAAAATGGCTTCGTTTTGGCTGACAACAGGTTTACTGTTGATGTTTCTTACCTCCTCGATTTTGGCTGCTGGAAAAACTGCAGGTGTAAGTATTTTATATAGGTGATATCGTGCAGGATCTTGCTTATTTATATATTTTCTCGAAATAAAGGATATTTGTCATATTATGATGAATTGTACTAAATTTAGATTTTTATTTGCGCAATATTTGCGCAAAATTGGCAAGGCTGCTTAACTTTGCCAATTGCGCACAGGATATTTTTTTTCAGTTGTCAAAAATTGCGCACAAGGCATGCTTTTTTAAATGGTTCGGTAGACAATCGGAATGGAAATCCCTAAAAGTGAAACCCCGATCAAACGAGAGTGCGGAAGATTTGACCGACGCGCGACGGCTGCGACCTTGGTTTATATCATGTATTCGATTTAAATTAAGACATTGTTGCAGTTGGGAGACTCGTCAAACGTTTGATTTGTTAATCTGGAGCTTGAAATGTCCCCGTAACAATGCGTGACAGAATACCTTGCAATCAATGCAATCACGGTTAATTAATAGACGGCCAAAATAAATAGTTGAATTCATAACTGATAGAAACTCCTGTGCTCCCTGTGATGGATTTCGTCTGGTACGAGATAAAGCCAAAAAAATAGTTGCGAACTGAAACCCATCTTGATTTATTCGTCTGATACAAATATATATTTTTTCGTCTGATATATATATATATATATATATATATTCCCGTCTAAGACAACAGACTCGACTAACTGTTGCCTGTATTTTATGTTGAATACATGCAAAATGGAATATATGTACGATATATGCACGTAATTAACGATTGATAGCGAGTAAATAGCGCAAATGGAGGCATCGACATACACAATGTGTTCTAGCCTCCATCTTACTTGACCTCGACAGCATTTACTACATTTTAGGTATAAAATTAGTTATCAATATTTATATGACATATGCAACTGAGAGGCTGCTGGCTTCTTAAAAAAATACAACAGTCCATATCGCTTTCTCTTATATAGTCTTGAGGAACAAGTGCTGACGCCAGCTTGTGACACATAGTAAAACACCGGCAGGTACATACTATTCTTTATTAGTATAATTACATAGGTGATTATTGAAAATTCTCCACGCTGATTGGTTACCGTTGAGTTGATTATTACGCGATAATCACCTAAGCGATTTTCAAAATGGCGGCCGAAGCCGTTTTGTAAATTAAAAGCGAAGAAATGTGCATTTTTTAAATAATAATGAGTAGCAAAAAATAGCCAATAAAAAATAATTGGAAGGAAAACTCGCTTACATTTCTCTTCTAATTTCTTTTCTAACAAATGCACAACATGTTAATGAGGGCTCATTAACATGTTGTGCGTTTGCTAGAAAAGAAATTTAAGACTATCATCGCAAGACCTTAATCTATTAGCCAATCCAACAAAATGCTTTGCTTGCAAAATTATTTAGGCCAGGGCATTGTTCAAGAATGATGTTAATAAATTGTATCCTTTATGAAAGCCTATTACAGACGTAATCAATTTATTTATTTTTATTTATTTATTTATATAACTTCGCCATTTGATAAATTTACACACAAAAAACATCTATACAATACTATACAAAAATACAAACAATAGAATATATTAAAAAACTCATTAATAATTCACGAAGAAAGCACAAAGAAAAATCATAAGCGTGGCGCATCTGTATATGTGATACAGATTCATGTTGATTTACATAAACTTTAACTCAAAGAAACAAAATGACTGTTAACGCATCTTATGCAAATGAGGTTCTCCAACTATTATAAAAGCCAATATAAAAGCAGTCCTTTAGTAGGATTGATGTCCAAGAATACCACTAGTCTGATAATTAAGCATAGAATGAAACAAATGTAGAATTAAATTGTATATGTGAATGAATGAATGAATGAATACATGTATGGAAAATCTTTAACAATCTTGTCCAGCCCAGGACTGAAGGTAGTGTCGAAAAGAGATTGGAAGGTGAGTAGAGAGATTTCAACTTATAATACTTTTAATACAAAGACTGTATTAGATTTTGACTTGTTCAACTTCTACTGTACAAACCTGAACTAAATTCATTTATTTATTCTGGACAGAGTGGTGTAGAGGGGGTGGGGGGGGGGGGAGCTCGGGGCTAATCTCTCAATATTTTTGTAAATTGCATGTTGACAACCTGGAAAGTTCTTTGCCACTGTAGGTAGCATTGAAATGTTGTAATGATGTTAGCAATTTGTTCTTGACCACGATAATACCATTAAGCCACAGAATTAGATACAGGACCAGAAGTGTCACTCAGACAATATTTTGTCCGAAATTTTACGAGTGCTGATGTGAAAATACGCCATCATATGACGCCATCCTGGAGTGCACAAGGAAGTTTTTCATAGGACAAACATAGGTACAAAGTGCTGTGTGCACTCCACAATGGTGTCATAGCACGTAAAAAATTTCGAATGTTTTCCTTCAACCAAAACACATAGGAGTGTCCCTTCTGGTCTGGTATCTATTCTGTGATTAAGTGATGTATGTGGCAACAACATCAAATAGTTTCTGTATATCAGAATCTTTTATTTGAAGTTAAAAAAACACTAATTGAAGAATTACTAGAACCAAAAATAAATACTGTAACGTTCCATGTTTATCATGTTGCACATATTGATCTAGTGAAACCTACCTAAACTGTGGTGGAACCTTGCAGCCTACATACCTTGTCACCCCACCACCCCCCTTTAAGAGCCCCCCCCCCTTGTTATATTTCACTTGTACACCACTGTGCACAGCTCTATATCAGTTCTAAACTGGGCCCAGTTGTTCAAAACCCAACTTAATCCTAGGTTAGCCTAAATCTTGTCTGGATTGATGAAAGTTTTATTTTGTAAAGTTATAAAACAAGCTGACCTATGAAATGCACAAACCAAAACAATTGGGCGTTCCCCCTGTCTTGCTATGGTATCCCACTACAGGGTAATATTGTATTACATATGCTTATAGAGTCGAGATGAGATTTATGAACGGTTTATTTCAATGAGAAGGTAGAGCTAACAGGAAGTGGTGGAGACTGCGGAAGACAAACAGAATGATTTTGAAGAATAACTTAGCATAAATGATTACATAAATAATTTGCAACATTTTATGAGATAAGCCAATTGAATTACTTCTTTTCCACAATGCAAGCTAGTTTTCTATCACACAGTATAAAGGTTTTGTCATTTTCTTATAAAATAATAAGTACCAGAATATGGTAAAAATACAGCCATATTAAAGGACAAGTCTTATTGAAAGTTTCTCCAGACAAAGTAAATTTGATTGCCTTGTCTCTTGAAATGTGTTTGGCTAAAATTAAATTTAATTATAAACAATTTTGGGGACATAAGTTTTGATATATTCAACATTTTAATGACAGTGTTCTTAGTGATTATGATGGCAATTTGGTGAAAGTTTTGTACAGCCATTTGCCGGAAGATTTGTTCACATGAAGGCATTTGAATTAAAATGTATTTTATTTGCATTAACTACTCTTTCCATTTTGAAAAAAATTGGTGTCCACAGTGCCCCCCTCCCACTTTTCCCCTCCCCAAGAATCTGTGGACCCATTCCTCATCCACCTATTATATTATATCTTCTTACTTATTCGTGATTTCCAAAATTCTTTGAAACGGCACAGCCGTCACCAAAATCAGGCAATCTTTCTCAATCAATCAATGGCACAGCCGTCACCAAAATCAGGCAATCTTTCTCAATTTCCAATGTTTTGAACACTCTGTAAAAGAAAGTGAAAACATGTCAAGTTACAAATCCATAATCTTCTTCAGCTAGGCCTGCTTGCAACCCGTAATTTGGGAAGGCTTTAGTTATGTGTTCACTTTATGCCAAGTGGAATAAAATAGGCAAGCACACAAGCACTGCTCACAGGAAATGCTAAACAGCTGCAGGAAATTCGTTTTAATGAAATTTGGTATTGAAGATTTTAAGGAAACCTTAACACCCATGTCCAACAATGGGTGAAATGAATTTAAAACCATGGCCAGCTAAAACACTATATGTTTATGCACATGCAGATTTAGCACAAAAATGGTCTGCAGGTAATTTTTGTCTCCAGGTTTTGCGCCCAGGAAGAAAATTGTTTTTTCCTGCCCTGGCCAAGTGTGGTAGTCACCTTATTGGTACACCTTATTGTTTGTAGCTATAAAGTATGCATGTTCTCAGCATACCTTATAGCCATGGTTTTTGTCTGGAGGCATGGCCAACTTCAAAGAACAACTTTTATTTGTTATTGAACTGCACCTCACCTAACCGTGAACAAATTCTTTGTCTAAACTTCATTAAGTATAACTCATCGTGTTATCGCAGCTATTGATCAAATTAAACTTACCAAAGTAAAGAAATCCAATTACATTTCGCTTCAGAAGATTTTGCTTGGCAGATCCAACGGCGTTTATTCGTCACAATTATAAATGCATTTTGTGTATCTTAATTTAAACAAGACAGTATTTCGTTAGAGTTACAGTAGTGGTAGCTTTCTCAAAAAATCTTGAGGAAATCCTTAAAGATCTAGAGAAAATCCCACTGAAATTTAGAAAATCCCCAAAATTCTTGGAAAATATCTCCCAAATTCTATTTCTTGAGCAATAGGCTCCTTGTATAGTCCTGCTGATCAGTCAAAGCTAACCTATCGAAAGCAAAAAACCAATGCGTCTACTTTCAGTATAGCTGCATGTCTACAATGTACATACTTACATTTTGTGTCACTGACGTCCTCCAATTTCAGAGTTGATAAAGGCAGTGATTGATGGTATCTATAAAGAACATCAGAAATATTAGGAATAGTGTAAAATAAGTCTACAAAAGTTCTAAGCTTCAGTACAGTGACTGCAATTTTGCAAGAAGATGGTGACTTCCCCCCCACCCCATATGTGTAAGTGCACCCAGTGCCCCTGTCCCACCAAGGATCTATATCTACCTAATCATACACCTATTATAATATCCTCTTACTTATATGTAATTTCCAAAATTCTTTGAAACGGCACAGCCGTGACATTTTTGGTTGCCAAAATCAGGCAATCATTCAATAGGAATAATCCTAAATTTCCAATGTTTTGAAACACTCTATAAAAGAAAGACAAAACATGTCAAGTTACAAAATTAATCCGACTTATCCTCAACCTTCAGTAGCACGCTTAACTTAGCGGTCAGCATGTACAGTACTAATTCACCAGCCAAGTTATCAAACAATCTCGCAAGCCAGGCTACCTTCGCTTGGCTTATGGCATTGTCTATAAATTACATATGCCTTTACCTAAATTCAGCTTTTACTTCATTATCATCTGTCTGTTTTAAATGAATTACATCTTCCTGTTTAATAAAATATCGTCCACGTTCAACCAAAGCCTAAATAATGAAGGACATTACTATTAATTTCATAGGTTGAAGCCCAGTAAGCCACCAATATACACTGCCCTTATATGTTAGCATGTTATATATATAATGGCATACCATTCCATCACATTCACCACATCATACCATACCATCCATATACCATAAAGCATAGAATAGCACAGCATGGCATACCATTACAAACCATAACATAAATTGCCAGACCATAGCATACCAAACCAGAATACCATACCACCATAGCATACCATTCAATGCTGCACTAGATCACACATCATATCACACTACATCATTTCATATCATCTGATATCATATCATACTATTTGATACCACACCATAGCATACTATACCATACACCATACACCATATGTAACTCCATGACAAATAACACCTCACCAAACCACAACAGCTTAATTTGTAAAGACTTACCGGACAGTTGTCAATTCGCTGCTGAATTTCTTTGAGGCATTTTTCACGGCGTAGCCTTGTACTGGCCTAAAAATTAGGCAAAGCATGAAATATTAAATGGGGCTTCATTAGCCCTACTGAAATTGAGAGTAAACAAGTGGTTCAACTTCATTTGGAAATAAGTACTATTCCTACAAGACTGAACTGAAGACAACATTACAATCAATAGATTATCCAACATACCTCATCAAAAAGTAACTTCAGTTGTTTCAACTGTTCAATTGCTTTGATCAATTTCTTGTGGTCCTTATGTTCCACAGGTGTGTGGTGAAGAAATGACTCTAACAGATAGATATACCTTAATGAAAGAATGAGTTGGCAAATATTTTTGCATGTGGTAAGATTAAATTACATTACAGTACCAGGGATGGGTCCAACTAATTTGGTAGGGGGGCATCTAGCACATGGAACCAATACACAAATCAACAACACTTGCTTACTCATGTATCCGGTTTGTGGGTGCCAACAACAAGTTTGGAAGGCTGAAAGAAAAACAAGTCATATTTTTATTTGCCGTTCTTGTTTCCCATTGAAGTTACAGTAAAACCACACCTTGAAAGTTTAGTGCTAGGTTGTTTCTCCAGTTGCAGCAAAAATCCACGAAAGGCTGGATGTTGTTTTTGACACTGAACAGAGATAATATAAGTTATTGTTTGTGGTTGCATAATGAACGTTTTTGAAAGAAAAAGACCATTATTCACACAAATCAAAATGGCATATAAAAATTGGGTCAAAATAAATAGATATACTGTACAAACTATACTGTACAAACAAGTATGTACAACACGTAAAATGAAAAAATCTCAGATGTGCATGCATGGGAATTTAGTAGCCTGGCTAGACTGTTCTAAAATACACAGCTATGGTTTGTATGAACTAATACCTGAAAGATTATAAAAATATTTCCATGTTTTGAGCATAATGCCCCTCAAGGGGAGGGGATAAAACCATGCAAACCAGGGCAGCTTACATGAACGAAAGTCATGCAACCAACCTTGTCAATGGTCGCCAAAGTTATCGGATAGTTGTTGAGAAAATTTATGTACGCTTTAAATTTGGTGTTGAATTTAAGGAAAACGTCACCAAGACACTAAAATAAAACAAAGAAAGAAATTCCATTTGTACAGATAAATCAATCAGTATATTCCATTACAATAAGCATGGATGTATAAGTGTCAATCTGTTTAAAGTAGTTTCTGGAAACCATTGGAGAAAATCAGGAAAATGCCAAAGACTGGTTGACCATCATAATTAAACACTTCCTGAAACCTAATATTATATTTTCATTCATACCTGGTGAGAATCCCAATTTTCTAAACGACACGATAGATCATTTTCAAGTTCCCTATAAAAAGTGTGTAAATTAAGTCAGGTAAGGGATTAGCAATGCGGTATTAGCATTTCATTTTATGGTATTGCTACATGATTGCAAAAGAGATGGGGGAATTAAGACATCTAAATTCCAAAGTTAGTTTAGATCTTTTAGTGATTTTTTGGGCTCAAAGAAACTAATAGTTTATGGGTTTTTCGTAGATGGAATTTAAAAATGAAATTTAAAAATTTTTTTTACACTCTAAAAACACTCTGGTTAAAATTTTCCTAGTTAACCCAGCCAGGTAGGAAAAGCTTATAGTCACTGATCCTAACTCAATTCCTTTGTACATATATCATATAGGCTTAAAGTTACTGTCACTATAATGTTACTAGCTGTGCAATTCACAGAACTTACTTGTTTACTGTTAGCAGGGTTTCACTGTCATTAAAAATCATTCGAATATTGGCACTTCCAATCACTGGCCTGAAATTACAACAAGTGTAAAACACATTAAATTAATTATTTCCCCTTGACGATCTAGCTGGCGTTAGACAGAGTAAAATAATAAAGTAGCCAAGTAGGGTGCATCAATGCGACTCAATGAGTTAACTACTGTAGACACACGAGCAGCAGATACTGGCCAGTTAACCCATTAAAGCACCAGCACTCGCACCCCTTGACGTGTAAGTAAAACCATCTGGCATTAGACAGGGTAAAATAATAAGGTATGGTGCATCAGGGCACAATGTGACTCATTGGGTTAATGAGTTAATGGCATTCAGGCATTCATGAGAGGGTTGCATGAGGGGACGTTACTCAGCCTGGCCAGTCCACATAGCATTAGTACTCTCATCAAAATTTGAATGAAACTCAAAGCAAATTATATTTATACCTATTCGATTTGACAGAAGCATCCAGTGGCTTTCTAAACACATCTTGTATAATAGTCAAGGTGTTACAGTATTCTTTCTCTGTACCGAGTATTTCATGTGCTATCACTGAGCGCCTCTCTCCCAACGACAACCTCTCTTTAAGATTTGAATTCTACAATTAAACGGAAATAATTTATATGTCAGAATGTTGGTAACATTTGGCTAAACCAGAAAGCAGCCTTGTTATGGAAAGCTCTGATATATTATAGCTATAGTATTAAAGGTCTGTATAATAGTCATCACTTATTACAGTATATTAATAACTCAAACATTATCACACAACTGCATGTATATTACAGGAATCACACCCGGTCACAGAAGCAAAAGATCAAAATGGTACAATCTTACCGTTACTTTCCAATTCTCATCTTCTGACTCAAAGTCATCTTCTGACGAAACATATTCTCCTTCTTTCAAAGGCTCTTTTTCATCCAGTGGCACTTCCTAAAAAAAACATCACACTTTATAAGACTTACTCATTCTACAACAAGCTGCTATATTCTGTAATTTGTGTCTGGACTACCTAAAGAAGACTGCATCCAACCCATGGAACAATGCCCATTGTGAGGGATTTTTGCTCAGGTAGTTCAGACACAACTGTACGTACAGTAATATATTAATCATAATGTAATATTTAACAAATATAAAACATTTTCCGTGTTGATATACAGTTATATCAACACGAGTGGAAATTTGGAAAACGAGAAATTGTGTGGAAACACGACGCCCGAAGGGCGGAGTGTTTTCACACAATTTCGAGTTTTCCCAACTTCCACGAGTGTTGATATAACTATATATCAATACGGAAAAATGTTTTATATTTGTTTTATAATATAGCAATGTCAAAAGCCCGAAGAATAAGAAAAATTTCCGTGTTAACAAGCGGCGGAAAATTTCCCGTGTTGACATGGAGTTATATCAACACGGCTCTTAGCCAATCAGCGTTCAGAATTTACAAATGCTATATTATAATAAGAATTAAACCAAGGGAGAGCAGTTGACATACTTTAATTTTCTTTTTTGTTCGCTTCTTTCTTGCATTTTGCCCTCTCTCGCATTCTTGAAGACAATGAATAAGACTTGTAATTGGCTTAGCCTAGCAATAAAAGAACATGCATAATTTATTTATTACTTTTTCTGATTTAATTAATACTGTATGTTACATTTAGTATCGTAATTGCAACTTCAAAACAATGTTAAGCATCTGGTTTAGTAAATGAATGTAATGCTTGAACGTGCAAATGGAACTTCCCATTTCTTTCTTTTTTTACACTAATTGCTATGTAAATGTAATAAAATATTTTGGAAAATAGTATGTTTTGTGGACCCTATGGCCTTGTCAATGTTTGACCCTTCAATTTTACCTCAGTTTTGGCAGTCTTTGGTCCACAAAACATACTGTTTCCCTCGGTCCCAGTCAAGAATAACTGACATTTGGTTGGTTGATTAAGTGTGATCAGTACTGTACCTTTTCAATTTGCTTCTGTTGTGACATCAGAACTATAGCTTTTACCAATATTTTACTAACATCTTGTAGTTCACTTAACTCCACCAAACCAAGAGCTTTAAAAATTATTTCACCTGCATGAATAAATGAAAGTTCAATATGAATTAAACAATGTTTTATAGATGACTGGATGATATATGGCATAGAGAGAGAGAGAGTTTGGTCTTACTTTTGAATGCTATGCATCAATATGCAAATTATAAAATAATAAAAAAGGTTACAAGTTACATACCCACAATATTTGCGGCCAAGCCATAAATTTCGTCTTCAAAATGTCCAGTAAGCTCAGCACGAACTTTATTCAAACTTTCCTGGTAAAATTGTTTTGTAATAAAATTATCAGACATCTCTATTTGCTACAAAATTGTACATATTCTTACTAAAGAAAACGTTCTGCAGTGTTTGTCTTGATTTAGTTAAGCCCCTTACAGATGAGCAAATTTTCCTTGAGACGTTTTCCTTTACAAGTTTTACAAGTTTTACTAGTTTGTGCATGCATGTGTGCCAAATTAAGAGCCTTATTGTTCCAAAGCTAGTCACGTCAGCTTTTGGACAAGGAAAAAACCTGGCAAATAAGTGCACAAGAAATACTTCTATGGTTTTGACAAACAAAATACGGCCTTGATGTGAGATCAACATCTAACATTATGTTTATAACTAAACACCAAGAGAAACTTGTTGACCAAACACGCAAGAAGGTCAACTTGTCAAGGAATACTTGCTCATCTGTAGAGGGCTTTACTCCATACAAACCTGGATGTATTCAGCAGCCTTGCACCAAGCAGAAAGTTTGATTCCATTAAAATATAAACTGGAAGGTTTCTCTGTCTCTTCTTCAGGCACTGGAAGCCAGCTATCATCAAGTGAAACTTATTTCAAAAGAAGAAAATAGTGTTATGTTTATTACCGTTCACCATTCTATTGGCAGATTTAAATGTTAAAGGGTTTTTCGAGATAGAAATTATTTAAATGGAAATTATATGCTTAGACCAAACCAGGAGCAGGTGCAAAAAATGTGCTTAAATTAAAAATAGAAGGCATAGGTTTGTATTCCTCTTTGCATACTAACCTTTATGTAGAGCAGATGCAGTGCCAGTTGGAGATGAGAAAGTCAATCCAGTCATAATTTGAAGTTGGCTCAGTAGTTCCATTCCAGCATCTATGTACAAATGTAGCAGGATCATCATGCAAGACTGACATATTTTATCATATATCTAAAATACTGTATTCAACTTTCCGGGCAGTTATTTGTCACAATTTATACTATTCTGTGGAATTCAGATGTCAATGTGTGTACAGAAATGTTATAGTATATCTACCTGTTCCACCCAGAGGATAAAAGATATCAACATGTCCGCCTTGGTCTTGAGGAAGAATGTCCTTACTTAGTGCTTGCCAGAAGTCCTGGATTTCAGGTTCGTTTATTGATGACAGTGATATGCTGCGATCTATAATGCAAATTAGATATTATAGAGCAAAAAGAAAGATTTTAACCTCAGGGTTCAGCATTCGCCATAATATAAAAATCTATACAAGAATGGAACTTAATGAGAGTTGCATTGTGTCCAATCAATTATTGTGCATGCAAACTCTGCTTCTCAACCGTCATCAACTCTCTGATCCTCATTTGACAGAGGCTTTAACAAGAGTGTGTGCATGTCAGTGTGAATTGGCAGTTGAACACAAGTGAGCTCAGTGAGTAGGTGCACCTGTAATCAGAAACTCTCATCAAAATTAGAACCAACTCAAAGTTGATGATCGTGCATTGATGCATGAGAGTCATACATATGTAGCTGTCTAACATCAGTGGAAGTTAATGCAACTCTCATCAACACTCGCCAGCTCTCATTTTTGTTTGTCCTTGTCTTGTTCTCATTTGAACAGGGCACGAGAATTGAGAAAATTCTTATGCAAAACTTTTGCTTCTCAACTCTCATCCTTGTTTGACATATGTATGGCTTAACACAATCTTCAGGTTTAATAACTGTCAATATTGTGCTTACCCTCATACAATAATCATTATATGAATGCCTGATTTGCATGTTATACCTAATTACCTCGAATGAGCTGAAGGCTGCCATTCTCTCCTCCAACAAACAATCCAACACTCCTATATTAGTTAAAAACAACAGTAATAGTTGACAAGTTTATCAGCAGTATAATTTTCACAGTATAATTTTTCCTAAAGTATCAGTCTAGTTATCAGACATTCACACCTTGCTTTTCGTCCTTGTAAGACTGCAGTAAGATGTTCCAGTAATCCATATAATGTTGTTCCTTCATATTCGTAGACAATGGGTAAAACTCCATGTAGAACAGCACTAGCTAATAACTGAACAAATTGAAAGCAATAAATGTTGGAATAAGAAATTTTGCTGCACGATATCTCATTAGCGAGAGGTGTTGGCAGTATTCTGTAGCCACTACTATATGGCACTGTTAATTTTCTGATGGGAGGGAGTAAAGTTTCACTAACCTTAAGCCCAGCCTGCCCTGGGCAAACTAGGAAACATTGTCGTGGAAACATTGTTTCTTACCAATGTTTCGCCATGTTTCCAAGAGTGGGCAAACACTAGGAAACATTAGTGAGAAACATACTATTAGGGAACATCAAATGTTTCTGAATTCATTAGGAAACATTTTTGCTTCTCGGGAAGCAAATTTTGTTTCTGCAATAACCTGAGTATCAGGCTTTCTACCTATGCCCAAACTCGAGGAGGGCCTGATACTCAGGTTATTTCTGCAACAATTTTTCCATGGGTGGGCAAACAGGGAAACATTTGAGGAAACATCGATAATCACAAATGTTTCCACAACGTTTCTTTGTTTGCCCAGGGCTTAATATATATCTTCATAGTAAACGTACATCCTCATCTTTATAAACTTTTTCATTATATACAAATTGTTGAAGGGTTTTGTAGATGGAAATTTCGAGTGCAAATTTTATACATTTATTAGACCTATTACCAGCAGTTGCGAAAAGTAGTCAAGGCTGGCGAGAGGGGGGGGGGGGCAGGGGGGCAAAATACCCGGGGCCCGGAGTGTTCAGAGGGGCCCGGAAATCTCGGTAAAATGTTCATATTGTTTATCATTGTTTATGTTTGTCCTAAATGAAATACGCCTACTTGTACACTATCCGCTGATCGTTGTTATCGATCGTAAAACATACCAAAAAATAAACGATTTTTCGAACGTTTTCTCAGCAAAAACAGTTATAGCTGAACATCGTTGACATTGCGTTTTTATCAGTTATGCGGCGATTTCTTGCAAGTAATTCGCTGGCAATTCTCTTGTTGATAATAGCCAGCGGAAGAGTCAAGAAGGACAGGGGGCCCATGCTCACCAATCATCATTTTGTCCCGGGGCCCGTGGTTGGCTCTCGCCGGCCTTGACAGTAGTATGATCTGCCAATCTCAAAGAGTTATTAATTATTATTCCAATGAAATATATAAAGCTTATTGAGTTACCTCATGTGCTGATATTTGGGATGAAATGAACACAACATGAGGATTAACCATGCTTGGATAAGCCTTAAATAAAAAAATTATACAACATACATTTTAGTACAAATATTCTTTTCCAATCACCATGCAAAGAAAGAAACAAATTTAGTAGATTAATTATACCTACCATACTAAACTCTTGTAAACTCTTTTTGGTCTTGTCTTGAGAATATAGCTTAGAAGCATCCAACCTCCTTGAGCTAAATAATTTTCAATAACAGAGAGGTTATATATATATATATATATATATATGTCCAAAGATGCACACCTTTCATAATGATGCATGATGGATTGTTTACTCCACAAAAATTAAGCCATTACCTTGTTTTGACATTTTGTATAATATTTTGATTTCCATCAACTTCTTGGGTCATTCTATCGTCCCCATCGGCTGTATTACAAAAAGAATACATAATAACGCATTAATTAGTGCCTCAGGCTTAATCAGAAAGATCAAATAGTACAATAACAAATTGGGTCAGGGGTGGATCCAGCAAGCTTTTTTCAGGGGGGTGCTGGGTGAGCGGCTGAGTGTTTCCTTATAATTCTTTAGGGGGTGGTGGGAGAACATTCAAATGAATTGGCTTCCTAACAACTTGAGCGCCACAGGCGCAAGCTCCCTAGGGGGTCCAGGGGTATGCCCCCGCAACATTTTGAAAATTAGAACCCTAGAAATGCCATTTCCTGCGATATGGGTATTGAATTATGAGCTTCAGTATGACTTCAAAAAAGGAAAAATTGTGCCATATTTCTGAATTTGATTTTTTGCACCCCCTTGCACCCCTGTTGACTAAGGACAACAGGGGTGCGCACCCCTGTGCACCCCCTATAAATCCACCCCTGAATTGGGTGCACAAAGGTGCTTTGTGGCTTAATGAGTTAAAGGGGTATGGGTCCTGGTTAGGTCCTAAAAAATATACATAATCTTCCACTCAAAATTTCCATCTACAAAAACCCTTCAAATGTTAGTTCTATCATGCGAGATGCTAACATGCAAAAACAGCCACTACTTTGCTGCTTCTATTAAAAGTAGTGGCTGTTTTCGCAGGCTAACGAAATGCCCAAAATCTTGATAATAAATCTCAACTAAACCTCAATATTCAGCGCTGAAAGTAATATCGGAACTTACTCTGATAAAGCAGCTCATATCGAATTGCCTCAGATAACGTCAACATAGATGGGTCTGGAACATCTTCATTCAAAAGTGAAAATTCCTGAAAAAATATTCATATGTATGGTCTAAAATAATTTTCAGCTTTCTTGATAGGGGTGCATCAACTGTTCCCCTGTGACCTGGGCGTAATTCCAGCAAGTATGCAGACTTGTCTGATTTTATGTTTCCTCCCAGTTGCATGGTTGCATGTGAGAGATCTGTTTTTCTCAGGAAGCTCCAGTTTTCTTTTGTAGTAACAATTGATGGACCAATAGGGGAGAACTGTTGCCGGACCACTGGGGAGAACAATTTAGAACACAGCTAGTCAGTACAAATAGCTTTAGTTTATGTATATGACTTAGTTGGCAAACATATCAACAGTTATACAATAAAACTTTCTATGCTCTAATTAACTCATTGAGCCGCAATGCACCATACTTATTTTTTTTACTTGTCTAACGTCAGACAATTTTACTTGTCAATGGGGAAGCTCTACAGCTTAGTGGGTTAACCAAAAAATCTGACAATGTTTCTAGTTAACCCATTGAGCTGTACTTGTCAGTGGGGAAGCTCTGCAGCTTAATGGGTTACTGCATATTTCTATAATTTTGTATAATGTACCTCGCTCTTGCTTCGTCTATGTAACGATTTCCGGGCATGTTCACTGATCACAATATCTGCTGTATGAGTTGGAGTTGTTTTTGATCGTGTATGCTTGCTCCGTGTGAACTCTGACTGTTGAGCTGTTAGGGTACTTGGCTTTTCTGGACTCTTCTTACCGAAGAAACCTTTATCAGCGTATTCTAGTTCTTTTGGTTTAAAACTATTAGCGACCCAAGGAGGGCGTATTGCATCTTCTATATAAGAGTGTACATAGACAGATTTTTAAGAAGACATACTACCTACCATCAGGTAGTTCGGACACAACCCATGGCAGCTTATTGCAGAATACTACCTACACTGCACTGGCACCACGTTTGAGCATCTTTTTTAGGTAGTTCAGACACAAACCACGGCAGCTTATTGTAGAATCTATTTTGGGTAGTTCAGACACAATCCCAGGACTTAAACAGATTACACAATTAGTAATTTCTAACTTCCCAACCAAGGGCCTTCACTCGAAAAGTCGAATTTCTCCTTGTATTTTTCAAATAGTTACATCCCCACCAACAAAGGCAAGGTAACTTCTTACCATCTTTGTGAACTAATGGAACATTCTTTTTCCATTTTCTGTAAGCTTTTGCAGCAATGTCAGATTCACTTTTGTGTTTCTCAGCAGTTAGTGCCTTTAGAATACTATTGTATCTGGCCCGTAGTAAGTTTGTCTACCAAAAAGAAAATGTAGGCACTTAATTTACTTGTATTTAAACTTGCTAGAACTGATAAGAGCTACCCAGTATAAAAAAGATTTAGTTTAGTTAACCCATTGAGTTGCATCATACCTTATTAATGTGCCCTACTTTAATATTTCACTCTGTCTAACAACAGATGGTTTTTTCACACCAAGGGGGAGAAATACTACCGTCTGCTTACCCGAGCGCCAAACTGAATTCCGCTACGTCGACCAATCAGAATTTACCTTCCAAATTCTGGAAAGTGATGTGAGTTGATTTAGGAGCGGATAAATATAATATATATTTTGAAAGCAGTCGTCGGTTGAATTTTGGTCAAAATTGCACATAAATTGAATTTAAGGATACTGATACTTGTCCAGGTAATAAAATGCACCATTAATTATCAGATTTGGATATTGAAGATGTTTGGTTTTATTTAATTTTAAAACGCGGACAGGATTGGCATATTTATAATTATACTGTATGAATCTTAGCCAGACAGCATCAAATGCCGAATATATTTCGCTGAAATTTTAACGGTTTATCTTTATTTATAAGACAACAGAACTCGGAAGACAGAAAATTTTATACAATACTGTGGCTTAATTAGAAAGCGAAATATTAGCTTCAAAGTAAACTAATTTGTTGTTTGAGCAACCACTTCTGAATGTAAACTGTAAACACAACACAAACCCGAGAAACTTGTATTAAAATTGAGCCGTAATGAATTTTCCAATTCGCCCAAACTTCGAAACATTTATACTCTAACTTGGCTATACTTTTCTACATGACAATGAGAGCTTAATCTTTTAGAAGTGTTCGTCGAAGTCATGGCATATAGGAGGTATCAAGAGCAACATTTGGACATATCCTGATATACTCGAGTTTCCCAATTGATTGTTTGTCATTGTTAACAAAAATTTAAATTTCGCCTACTGCATTGCTTTAGCACTTTATATACACCAATTGTTTGCTGAACATGCGAGAAGACGATCTCAATATTATTCTACGTCAACATCGTGAAGTTCAACGCTATAGTTTCCAAAATATATCCATGCAAGTGAACAAATTTCAAGTTTCAACCCAAACAATATATTCCAATGCATGTGCAAGGGCTTTCCCCAGTAGCTAATCTCTCAATAAGGCGGCTTCCAATTGGCTCTAACTTTTTTGAACACTGCCAGATGATTGGCTCCTAAAACAAAGGGAACTGAATATGCAGCTCGGGTAAGCAGACGGTAGTATTTTGTCGCTTGGCGTAAGAACTACAACGTCTGTGAGCAGGCTAGAGAGCAGCTGGCACTTGTGCAATTGTGGCTTGAATTTTCTCCTACAGGAACGGCCTTACTGGACCAACAAGTAGAACAGTTTAGAACTGATAGAGTTATCCAGTATAAATAAAGTTCATTTAGATTAGATTTTCCTGTACTAGGAACAACAGTTTACAACTGATAGGGCTGCCATATAAATAAACTTGATATAATCCTACTTACAGACTTCTGAGGCAATTCAATATCCAAAGTCCTAATACACATCATATAATGTTTCTTCCATGCTCCATTCTCCAAGTCGCTCGGCTTATACGGTAAATACCAACCAAATTTTAGACATTTTCTTCTCCAGATTGTATCCTGTTCGACCAACCATTTCCAATGCCACGAAACACTGGCTGCTCGGCAGAGACTTCGCGGGTCAAGGTAGCTGAATATATGAGTTGAAACTTTCTTGGGTAGTAGGGTAGTGAAATCTTGTTGGGTGCGTACAGGTTGCTTAAACCAAGCCAGAATGAATTTAAGTTCAGGATGTGATGACTGGTCCAAAATAAAATCAAAGAATCTTTTTCTTTGGGTTTCATTCCAAGAGTAGTACTGAAGAGAAACGAGAAAATAATTGTAAATTTTGAGCATCTTGCTGGACTAGACAGCAATGTAAAATGTTTTCCATTGACAAAAATTTCCATACATGGTTCGATACCTGTTGGAGGGATTATACAGTACTCATTAGTTTAAGTCTGAGACAAAGCATGTTTGTTTTGTCTGTGAAGATTTTTTAAAATTTCTTTTTAAAATGAAATGGCAATGTCTCAGAAACAATTTTATAAAATGTTCTGATTTTTTTCATCAGAGAAGAATGATATATGATTAATCAATTTTAGTAGGGGTGCACCGGATTTGGAATTTTCAAATCCGGCCGGAACCGGATTTACCGGATTTGGACAAAAATTCCGGCAGGAATTCCGGCCGGATTTCCCAGATTTGAGATAAACCGGTAATGGGGACAATTGGGGATAAATCAGTATTCAAAATGGCGGTTTATGTTTTTTACTATTTTTAGTTAGTGTCAGTTTAGATTTTTGATTGTGTTTAAACCTTTTTTAAATATCTTTTTGTTAATAACTTAATATTTTATAATAATATGAGGGTTTTTTAAACTTTAAAGCTGCCGAATTGATGGTTTATCCCAGCCTAGTCCCAGTCGTTCTGAAGCAAGCGCGAGAAAAAAGTGGATGAAATACGAGACTGGGACCTAGGGGTGACGTCACCGCTCAAGGTGCTTCAGAACGCCTAGCAGATTTCAGTATTTTTAATATGGCGGAAAATTTATATATACAAGTAACTTTTAATTATAAATACGATAATGTTCGTTCATCATGTACATGTTCGATGTCTACATAACCAAATCAAACTGTATTAAAAATGTGCTCAACTAAAAAAAATTATATACAAATTTACGATACCGAGTTTGAGCAATCATTGATGTTATTTATGTATTCGCAAGTTGTGATCAACACTAGACCATACTGGTATACACAACTACGCTTTCTACTTGACAGGTTTAAATTGCTGATGAGATTGGAAATATTTGGCTGACATGACGGTGTTGTCAAAACATTCATAATCGGAGACTCGGCATAATTTTCAAGCTTCTAGATAGCATTTAATATGGCTATATATTTTAGTAAACACGAGTCATATGTAGCCCGTTATTCCATTCTGACCGTATGGCCGCGAAACGTAGCCCAGAGCATTAGAGCAAAACTAATGACTTAATTATAAATGCAAAGGAAATTTCCATAACATTTTCCATTTACAAATGAGGTATGCTTGGTAACCAGGCCAGGGGACTTATTTAAATATATCAAAGCAGCGAATAGAGAGAGAGAGCCTGGGACTAGGCTGGGTTTATCCCATTCTTGGTGAATTTTTTAAGCTGAAAACAGAAATTTAAATCCGGCTGGATTTTCTCCAAATCCGGCCGGAAGCCGGATGCCGGAAAATTCGTTAAATCCGGCCGGAATTCCGGCCGGATTTGAAATCCGGTGCACCCCTAAATTTTAGTTTAAAGAAGCTCCTCCCCATACCTAAATATATCATTACTTTTGTGCGAGAATTCTGGGTGTAAATAATTCCACAACCCTACATATAAATGGCCAAATATTTTTTTAATTTCTGGAATGGTACACACTTATATATTATTCAAATTAGTTTTCATCTTGTAGGATATATGTATAACCTGTCATTTATCTGACAAAGATTGTAAAATAAAATAAAATAAAAATAAGTTACAAAATACAGTAATCAAACTTTAGAAAAATCTCTTGGGCATAGCTCAGGACATCTAGTTTACAACATGAAATGGAGAACTTGAGCTTGTTGTTCAAGTTCAAAAATTCTCTTGAAAAATACATTGAAAAACTGGTAGTTAAAAAAATACTCACCCACTGGCCAATTAAATTACGTCGCTCCAAGAACACCTGAAAATAAATAGTACTTTTTTAAAACAGCTAACAAAGTAAGGATTATTTTTGTTGTGTTGGTGTTGTGTACTCAGGTGAATAAGATGCTTGTGATGTTACTCTGAGTGTATATCCACGCCGGGCGAGCTTGAAAAATATGCCTGGCCACGGTGGGAATCGAACCTACGACCTTTGGAATAGTAGCCCAATGCTCTGCCAATTGAGCTAAAAAATCATGATTATTAGATTACACTGATATTGAAGGAACTAGACTCTGCAGTTCCGAAATATCACATACTCGAACCGACCTGACCGCGTAGCTCAGTTGGTAGAGCATTGGGCTAGTATGCCAAAGGTTGTAGGTTCGATTCCCACCGTGGCCAGGCATATTTTCAGGCCTGCCCGGTGTGGATATACACTCAGAGTAACATCACAAGCATCAAAGTAAGGATTGCTAACAAAATTGTTTGCAGACAATATGGGGCTTA